CTGGAGATTTAGCTGTTGGGTCTCTTCCAGAATTCAGCTATGATCTCAGATGCTTTGCATTTTGAGATTTAAATGTAAGGAAGTTAGCAAGTAATATATGGATTTTCAAATTAAAGCCCAAGGAGCAGTCTGATTTAGAATAGCAGGACTTCATGGCTGTAATCTTTGGATTAAATGTTGGCTTTCTCTATACACGTAACTAGACACTGTGTTTCTCAGGAAGAAAATAATGTCCATTAAAATAATCTCAAAGCCTGAGGAAGTGTGGTGATAGCTGCATAGTTAGTATTGCTTTCCTAAGGAGTGGAAAGGGATTTAAAGAAAATCTCTTGGTGTTCAGATTAAACTGGACGATACCCTTATGTGTCTGAATGACAGCCTTCGGGATTACAGCCCCATAATTATCAATCTCATCTGTCAAGCTCCTCCCTCCCCAGTATGAGTATGACATAGCTACAAGACTTAAAAAATAATAATGTTTGCATTATCTTCATTTTTTAGGTGTTAAAGAAGTTATTGGGGGGGCCATATTGCGGTGTTGGAGTATAGAAAATTATTTGTATGTAAATGAAAGGCAAGACTTTTCAGGGACTAAACAGGTGGTTCTTCAGGGAAAATGCAAAATCAGATGAAATCATGACGTGTGGCAAGACTGCTGCCTGGATCACTTGTATTAGGACATGTCTGGCCTAGAAAATGTATACTCGAGCCTCAGTGCGTTCATCAGGTGATGATATAGAGCGTGTATCTGTTGCTTTACATTCCTGCTGGTCTTTGTTACTGCTGGAGGCTGTCTCCAGGTTCAGCCTGTTGTCCCAAGAGCTGCTCAAGCCCATTGCCCAGGTCATGCCAGCACAGTCTTTACAACAGATCCGCTTTCTTCGTTAAAGTCATCATTCTGGTTGCCACTTGATATGAAGCTTTTCCACAGCTTTGGTGGCGGTTGGATGAGGTTGTTAATGAGTTCAGCAGTATTGCGAGAGACTGAATGCATTCATTTAAAAAAATGAGCTGAAAATAACATCTTACAAAAGTCATCGTGCATTGCTTTGTCAATGATTCTTTGTTGGTTTCAGCCTCTGTTTCTTTTTGTAAGGATTTGTTCCTAGGCCGCCAGGCCTGAATGGAGAATAGGAAGTCAATCCAGCTGTTTTCCTCGTGTTGGCACTCTCTGCTGAACAGGAATTGCTGAGCAAAGAACATCATTTCCCCAGAGAGGCTTGCTGGGGTAGCACAAAGGCAGTCTGGGTTTTTTTTTAATTAAAAGTTCCTGCCAAATACTATCATCAAGGGTTGGGGGAGGGAGGGAGGGAAAGAAATACATGAAGTCTGGAGTCCACTTGGAAGAGCAAGAAACCGGCCTGGGAAAGCAAAAGAGCAGTGTTTTTCTCTGCCAAACTCTTGCTTTTTTAACATATAACCACTTATCCAGAAAAGAGGACTGGGACTTTTTTTTTTTCCTTCTCTCTTCTGTGAATCTTGGTTCTGACTATTGCTTCTCCAACAAAGTTGGAGGGATTGTGCAACTTTGCGCTTGGTTTTGGACTAGCTAGTGGAACAAAAAATAAGCAGAATTCCTTCTCTTAAGTGGACGCCAAATTATCAACTGACACATCACGCCATGTTATGGTGATAAATGCACGTCTGGTCGTGGTTTGCAGTAAGCTTAAATTCCTCTATTCTTCTTCTTAAAAAAAAAAAAAAAAGATAATAAGGCTATGGCTTCTTTGCTTTCTTTTTGTTTTGCAAAAGAAAGGTTAAGAGAACAAGCCATAAAGAATAATTGACACATATTTGGGGAAAGAGGAAGATATAGAGTCATTTCACTTCTTGCTTGCAGGATTAATCTGGGATAAATCCATAATGAATGGAACATACTGCCACCTGATGCTGTCTGGTGCTGGATGAGAAATGCATTGGGTGGTTTATTCCAGTCCTCAGTGCACTGTGACCACTTTATAAACTCCTTTATTGTATTTGACACTTTCTGGTATTCTTGCTGGCAGTATTACTAAAGAATTGCCTTTCAGTTTGAATAGTCCTCTCTAGCAAGGCAGTTTCAGGTAAGACAATATTTGTGGATGGAAGACTGTATGTTTTAGCTCAATCTTGGAGGATGCTTCAAAATCCCTGTGATGTGAAAGGGAACTGTGGCAGTACCAAGATTGACAAATTGCCTATGTAGTGCATTTATAGCTCCTGACAGTTTAGTTGTGGACAAGTATGGAGTAACTTCTTACCGGAAAAGTTCCTCCATGGGTCCTATCAGTATTCAATTTTATAACCCAAAGTGAAAAAAAATAATATTCCTTTGACTTCTTTGTGTGCGTTTTAGTGTTTTTTAATATAGCTGCATAATTATTAATTATCTGTTCTAGGTTTTGATTTCCAATTCAGTTCATCTCCATGAGCACAGTAACATATTGCACAATTAATTTGCTGTTTATAATATTCCCTTGAAAAGAGTATCTTCCATCCTGTTTATTGGTGTGTTTCCAACTGATCTCTGGAGAACAAAATGGTTGGCTTCTGCTCAAACTTTTGTATTACAATGTTCAACCTTGGCCAATTTTGAAGTTCTTACTTGTTTTTTACTGAGGAGAGAGTATTTTTAACTTCAGCTAGATCTTTGTCTATGTAAAAACTTCAAAATACGTCTTTAGTAAAGTCATCCCAATAGAGTGGATAGGGTCTGAGTTTGCTGAGTAGTGCTCTGTTGCCTGTAAGATGCTTGTTCAGAATAGCACAAAACTGATCTACAGTCTGGCTTGCTTGTTGGTAGGTTTTCTTAACTGTTCTCTAATACAGCTGACATTTTATGTTCATGTATTAATTAATAAGAAGGCATACATAAGCTAAAGGACATTTCTTGTATGAGCTTGTGGAGATCTCAGAAGTGGGTTGGATGTGAAGCTTCATATACCCAAACGTTCATGTACTATGTTCAACTGTCACTATGGTGGGTGCTTTAAAAATACCTAAGCCAAATATTTTGTTAATATAGCCATCACAAAACACACTAAATGATTGGTTGGTTTGTTCGTAGTTTTGCTTGGAGGCAGAAAATGTGATTTCTCCAAGTGGAACGTGAAATCATTTGTTCCTGTTACATCTTGTTACTGTCATGTCGCTGTTCCATTCCTGCTTTTATATAGAAAATTTTTTTCTAACATCATGTTCTAGACCTACATTCTCTCTAAAATTTTCCACTCTGCTGGTGTCTGAATACAAGAGGATTTCCCCTTCACGGAGTTTTGTTTATGTTTTTATTTTGCTTTTTGGACTTTGTCTAATTCTTCAGTAAAGATATCTGGAAGAGAATTGGGGGAACTCTCAAAACACGAGCAGTTGCCTGTCATTGTCTAGAGTCTCAAGCACATGTGGACTTCCATCCCCTTCCTGTCTTTTGTTTCTGGGTTGGTAATGTTGTCTTTAAATAAGTTCAAATAAAAATAGATGTAATAGAGCTGGAAATAGAAACTAGTATCCTTAAACGAATGTCTTTGCTGTCTGAGCACGATGTGCCAATAATAATAAAGCAACGTAATCCCAGAGGGTACTGAAGTGTTTACAGCCCGTGGCTCTAATCCTGTCACCTTTCCCTTGCAAGTGAATCCACTAAAGTCACTTAGCGGCACTTTTTCAAGGAAGTGACATATGGACTACAGCAGCAGCCGAGTAGCGAGAGCACGAGTAGTAAGAGGGATTTCTCTTTAGCTGAGGATGCTGGGGCATACTGCTCCCAAAAGTTCACAGAACTTTTAATAGGTAGCAATCTAAATCTGTTCAAGTGGGTTGTACTCTCTTAATCTACATCAAAGTGGCATCAGTCAACATGACTGATGGCTATTGGATTCAATGGACCCACTGTATAATCTATTTTTGCATTGTAATACTGACTAGAGGTCACAGCTAGGGTTTATATCATCTTTTCCTGAAACATTTCCAAGTGGGTAGAAGTCTGTCCCAAAGAATGTAATGAAAATGAAAAAGCACAACATGGGTAGAGCGAACAATGGGAAGGATGTAGGGCAAAGTATGAAGGTAAATACTGGTGAGAGCGAGTATTTATAGATCACCAGTGATACACATCAATTGCAGGCTGTAAATCATTTAAGCTTTTATTAGTAAAAGAAATATTGCTTGTGTCTCACAGAATCTTTATGTCACTATTGTGAACTGCAGATGCATTCTTGGCATCAGAATAAAGGTGCATCTGAAAGCTGGATTTATCAGTTTGACATGGTTAGCAAGTGTATGTTGGCAGCATATAAAGAAAAAGAGTAGCAGTGAACTTCATCATTAGGAGTTTCTGGCAGGCATTGATCTGTGAGAAGAAGCATCAGTAGAGGTGAGCAGCTTCTAAGACATGAAAATAAGGAGAGTCAGAAGAGAGATCAAGTTCTGAGGGATCTTAAAAATTAATATTAAATAACTGAATGAGAAAGAAATTCTTAATGCTGCATTTTGACTAATCTGGAGAGTAGGAATATGGACTTTGGAAATCTCAGAGTTGCAATAGGTGGAAGACAGAGTCATAACAGCATAAAGGGAAAAATGTTGGAGCTGATTTATGCTGGTAAAAGCAGTTTTGCCTCCCCCAGAGAAGCAGGTCATTCCCAGAAACATGTTTAGTGCCCATTTTCTTAATCTAGACGTGGCCTGGTCAAGGAAGTGTTAGCGCTGCACTCATATATGCAGCATAGTCAAGAAGGAGAAGTAGATGTGCTGTCGAGGTTGCTGGTTTAGGCCACTGCAACTCTAGTATCAGAGAAAGTGGAAATTTAAGCGAGCGAGGAAGGGGGCTTGGCTGTGTGTAACCGTGCCATTGGTTGTGAGTGGCTGGCACTGCATCTAATGAGCACGGCTGAGTATCTTCCTCATCTGTGTAATGATCTGAGTCAATTGTTGTGTTTCACAAGAGAGAGAGTGAAACATAATGGACATTAAATATAGTGCTATCTGCATTTCAACACTGTCTTTCTGTTGTTTCCAAACAGATACGGAATTTCTCCTTCAGGGACGTGTTTTTTTGGGGATGTTGTAGAAGACAAAGGAACAACTCACCTGACAGACATGTGGAAAGTCCAGACCGCATGCAGCAGGCAAGCCACTAGTGTACAATCTGTTGTGTCTGACTGTGCGATATTTTAGAGATGGAGGATGTAAAAGCAAACAAACAGAAAAACTACTCAAAAAACCCCCAAGCCCCAGCCTCCCCAAACCTGGATTTTATTGCACTGCACTTGAAAGATATCCTTTTTAATTAATTGTTCAAGTGGTATGTATGATGAAAAAACATTACCTGGTTGCAGAGGGACCAGTATTTATATTTCTAAAGTTAATTGTTACATATTTGTTCACAATTCTCTTGTTCTTTGCTCCACCCTGCAAATCTAAACAGCACTCAAAAGAAAGATGTGGAGTAGGAGTCTGATTTAATGGTGCCTACTTGGCTCTGTAGCAGGGCTAAAAGACGGTAATAAAATCCTTGTAGGATTTACTGAAATCAGATAGAATGAATGTAGCATTCAAACAAGAAACCCATAGATAAGCTGAATTCTTGCTTCACTTCAATTATTTCCCTTTAAATCAAATGAGGAGAAGAAAAAAGATGACAACCCTGGCTTACTGTTGCTTGAGCACTGGGAAAAAGGTAGGGTCAGTAGCCCAAGCCAACTGGAAAATGAGATTCTTTCTCATGTCTTCGCTCCGAGCTGAATTGAAGCCTATGTTCTGTTTTCTGTTACGCTAGTGGGAATCCTTTGTTGGCTTGGATTAACAGCATTGTGATCTGAGACCAGAGAATCGCAGAGAGTGCCCATCTTACATGAACGCTTGAAAGGATTTGTTTTAGGTCTGGCTGAGAAATGTGTCCAAGGCGTTCAACGGTCTTCAGCATCCAGAATAGCTCTCTTATATGACTGGCACTCAGCAGGCTTCTTAAAATGGAGTCTAGGAATTTAGGAGTATTTTGAAATATATCCCACTCTAAAGGAGGACATAGTTTTCAAGTTTAGTATGGGTCATATAGAATAAAAAAGCAAATAAGATAGACTATGATAGTAATACAAGGATTTATGTTTAATTTATCCCTGTTATTTTAATGATCTCTTAGAGTTTGTGTCATGTTTGTGCACAACTTTCAGAAATGCCAAACTTTGTTTTGAGGTTCACAATTCACAAGATTGCTTTATGCAGATTTTCCTCATGTTTTAAGTCTAGGAGACGGAGTTACGTTCGAACATTTAAATTGTGATCTCTAACATATATAACGCCGCTGAAAACGTGATTACTAGGATTTGTTGAAGGAACAGCATTTAAACTGAAACTCTTCATTTACTCTTTCTGGAAACTATGTATGCATGAAATGAATGAGTCAAACTTAAGACATGCCATCTGATTATAACTCAGTGGGTGGGAGGGACAAAGTCCTTGGGCTTTGAACTAGTTACATATAAATACAGAGCTAGCTGGCAAAGGTCTGATCAGAGGAACGGGAGGCCCCAGATAGAGTGGGAAGTACTCCCAGTATCCTAAATAATAGACACTCCAATATAATCATGAAAACCCAGAGTCCTCTGGGGAGTGCTTGGGTTAAAGGATACCAGAGTGATACGGATTTCTAGGGGAGGAAATATTGCTTTTTTAAGAGGAAAAATGGAAAAGACTCTAGAGTGAAAATTAAGGAGATGAAAATCCTCACAGTCAACAGAGATTTATACTGTTTAGGTATACTGTAACAGGGCCATAAAAGGCACATGTGCAGTATATCTGTAACCAAAGGAAAACGAAACAGAGCAGAAGGGAAAAAGAAAGTTATGTTTGTAAATGGGAAGTTCTGAGAGCCCATTTAATCTAACAGTGACATTGCTTGTTCTGGAAACCGAAGCTTGCTAGAAAAGAACATGAACTACAGCAAGTAATTTGGGGATGAGGGGGAGGATTGAGTACCAAACTTGCCAATAATATAAATAACAAATTTATAAATGTGTTGAAAGTAAGAAGCTTCTGATGGAGAATCAGCCTGTTTATTGAGATGAGAGATCAGTTAGGGAAAACTAGAATTTTGCTAAATCAACTCAATATGTGTTTGTGCCATGGCCAATTTAATTATTAAACCTTAAGTGCAAAAAAAGAGATTTGAAACACAGAGGAGGCAGTCTTGAGTGACACCTGTGTGTAAGAGCCATTTGATTCACAAATCAGGAAAGGGGTTTTTTTTCCTTAATTCAGCTGATGCAAACAAAATGACCCATTTATATGACAGTGTCCATAGCATGTTTTTTCTTATGTTTGTTGGACTTATTTTATGATGTTGCCTAGGAGCTGTGGCAGAAAACATGACTGATGACACTAAATGGAAGTGTGTATGTATGTGTGTGTAAAAGATGGGGAAATCGGTCCTTTCCTTGAAAAAGGAAGAACTTGGTGAACTCATCTCCCTGTCTTCTCCTTTAGATCCACTGCTTGCCTATTCCTCAGTGAAGCAATAGGATTATAAAGGAATGTGGACCCCATTGTTTACAAACAGAGGGGTTCCAACAGCATAAGCAACTTTCACTTTGCTAATGCCCCGCTATCCCCCAAGACAGCCTTGTTTCAAGCACTGTGCAGTGTCTGAATGCTTCAGTCACTGCCTCTTCAGGCCTAAACCCTTGACCTGTTATAGCTATTTTGTACCATCTTAGTTACAAGGAAATTATTGAGTGGCATTACCATGTGACATTGTATTTATTGTTTGCTTGTGGGTTTTTTTTGAGATATTATTGAATTATCATGAAAGGGTAGTAAACTCATGCAACCCACAGGCAGTTCAGATATAACTCCATGCCTAAACTTTCAGCTGAGCAAGATGTGGGCTGTGCTGGTGCGGGATCTGCCACAGGATCCAAATCTCGATCTGGCTGAAGTCACCAGGATGTCCTGGAGCTCTGCTGTGTGCCAAAGGCCAGCCCCCTTAAACCTTGGATGGGAGGACAGATGGGGAAGCACTGTCCTCTTCAACCTCAAATGCTTCTGGAGATCTCCCTTTTTGCTGTTTTTCATGCATCTTGTGACATGAAAATTTTGGTATGAAGCTTAAAGGTTTAGGGATTTTGGTCTGCTCTTTTATGGCGCTGTTATTTTTGTCACTGTTCTTATAGGTATATAATGCTCGCTGGATATATTAGCCTTCTCTTTTCAGTCTCCCATAACTTTTTGTTGGAGAAGGGAGTAATAATTTTTATTAGCTTTGCGTAGGCACGGGGGTTGATTCTGGTCTCACAACAATGTAAATTGGGAGAAATGGAATTGACGTCAGGAGAACTACCCACAGTCAATTTTGTAATTGAGCAATACCTTTTTATACGATTAAAGTATTTATTCTCTGCAGAAAGTTTTAAAATTGTTCAAATGAGGCCCTTGGACTCTGCTCAAAGGTGAATTTTTTGGAAAGTTTGAATGAAAACGTTTCATCCATGTGTAAGGATGAGGGAAGTGGAAAACTGTTTTTCCCTTCCATAAAGACTTTTTGCTGCCTTCTTTTCAACAGCTCTGCAGCATGAGTAGCTGAGGCCTGTGAGCTAAAATCTGGCATTGAAATAGCTGTAACTATGAAGTGTCTTAGTTTTGGCTTTGATTTGACTGAGTTACAACCTTTAGAAAACCATGTACTCAGCATGCACTTCACAGATTTGTTTCTTCCTTCAAATCTTGTGAAGAGTGCAGTCAAGAGGATTTGCTGTGAACACCTGAGTAGCTATAGAGCACGAAACTAGAGAAAGATATTGCTTTGAAGCAGCAGGAACACGTGAGGCTGGAAAAGGAACAGAAGACCTCGTAAAGAGCTTATGGCCTAAGAAAAGTTTCTGGGTGTTTTGCAAAATGTGCAACTGAGACCCATGTTCCTAGGAGCTGTTGTCTCTGATCCTACAGGTCATTTCCAAAGAACCAAGAGAGCTTTCTGCGGAGTGAGCAGGGGATAGCTATAAGACCAGACTCTGAGGTACACTGGCACTACTTACACTCCTCTTGAGTGAAAAGGCTCAGGGGACAGGGAGTAAAACACACGGTTGTTTCTCCCTATGATGTTGCAGGTAGTGCAGTTTACCAGTGATGTGACCATGGTTTTGCAAGCAGCATTGCTTTGAAGTCTTAACAAATGGAAGTCTAAGGACTTGCTGTTCAAGCAGGAGATATGCCACCGAGATCTGAGATTGTACAAAAGCATGCCATATCCTATTGGACAGAATAGTTTGTGAAACAGTGCTTGCCTATCTAATTGCAATCACATGTGAAATGAGAGGTCAAGGGGAGGCTGGATGTGCTTCCTTAACGACATAATTTTTTGACTTAGCATTGTTAATTATGCAGCCTTATGAATCATTAATTTAGTTCTATGTACAGGAGCTCTTCTGCATTTCCTCTGGCATTTTATAATGAAGTTGGTTAATATTTCCAATTACTCGAAGGCATCTATTTAGTTCTAGTGTCAGCGAAGACAGATTATGATGAACTTGTGCATCTGGTTCTTTGTTGAGCTGCTACCGCATTGTCACATCTTTCAATGCTGTTCAGAGTGAGCGGGGAACACTGTTTTCCCCTTTTTGCACAGGAGTAAGGACTGCAGAGGTTGCAGAGCGTGGAAGATCAGACATACAGCGTGTAATGTAATGTAATTCTTTTGCTTTGATTAGTTAGTGGTTTGAAATTCAAATTTAATGTTTGATCTCAACAATTTTTCTTACTGGATGACACGTAGTGACAGTGCATCTCATTCATTTAAAGAATATAAATATCCAAGTGAATTTATTTCCAACTGAGGAATATGGAGGAGCTGGCTCCCCTCTGTTCCCCTCTATCTCAGCATGCAGCATGTGCAAAGTGTTACCCCTGCCCTGATGAAAATGATTGCCTGAGGTATGTGCCTGTGGGGGACTTTGTGCTGTAAAGGACCTTCAGTGTAGGTGAGATTGTAGCACACCGAATGCTAAGCAGATCTAAAGCACACCTTGACAAACTAATTGTGTAATTGAGTGAAGAGCAGGAGCTCAGGTGTGCACAATGTGAAGGAATACTACCAGGTGATTTTCACATGGTAACTGTGATAAAGAGCTCTCTG